ACAGAATAAAGCAATGTTTTCAGATTGAATGCATTATTAAAGTTGACAAATTATGCTCAAGGATAAACAGCTGATATTTATTCATCAGTGGAAAGTACAGTTTGAGAAATATTACTTATTACTATTAATATTGGAGTATTCAATTTTTTGATAACTTTTACTCCACTGCATTTCAAAGGGAACATATTTACTTTACTACACTACATTCAACTGACAGCTATAGTTACTAGTTACTTCACAGGTTAAAATTGTTCATTAAAAACACATGAAGAGATTGCATTGCTAAAGATTAAACCAGTGGCTCCCCAAACTTTCGGCCTTGTGACCCCTCACTAAAAAGATGTATGCAGTTGTGACCCCGTATGTCACATTTTAGATGTCTGTCAGTAGTTAGCAGTAAACCTAAAGAGTGATTTCCCCTCTAAACATCTAAGATGGTTCAATTCAAATTACTGTCCAAGGCCCAGAGAGCTAAAAGGATCCGATGTTTCACACAAAAAGCCAATATTAGAGAAATTACAAAACATTTGTGGACTTTTGTCTTATTTCCCCTATTACTTATCTCACAGTACCCTTATATGGGAACCACTCCACTACTAGTACTTAACTGTATACAAGTAGTTGTTAAAACTAGCTCTGCTAACCAGCTATAACAGTAAGATGCTTTTTACACAGTGATGCATCAGTATCCACAATCTAATAATGTCATACATAATTACATATCACTGGCAGAAGCCTGTTTTTTTACATTTGAAACTTTAAATATATTTTGCTGATTATACTTCTATACTTTTACTTGAGTAAGATTTTTAATTAAACAAAGGACTTGTGCACTTCTTACACCACTGCATAAATTCCAAAGCTACAATACATAATGATACTCAAATTTCATGTTAAACTCTAGGAATTAGCATGCAATCTGAATGGCTGTAGTTTTGACTGTGACTGTACTCTTCAGCGGACTCTTATCTTATCAGCTGAGCTCCAGGATGGCTCAATGATACTGGAGTGACTTCACTAAAGTTACAATCCATCAGGTGAATATCTGACTGTGTCCCATGAAGAGGCTGGTTGGCTGGCTGGCTTACCAACTGACTGACTGAGTAGGAGTGCCAGTCAGGAGAGGTTTTATTACATTCACTACAGATCGAAGTCCACTTGTGGGCCTTGAACGACCATCAGTCCACCGGGGCTGTTGGGCCTTCCTGCTGGCCTTTCTGTGACTCTCCTGCAGTGTCTGCCTGGTCTTCTGATCTCTGCAACAATGAAGGTCAGGCTGGACTGTCTCTGAAGCTCATCAGCCAGAATGGACCTACCTGGTCATCACCCACAGCAGCCTCCGCCTCTTGTCCACCACCCTGGCGACTACCCAGAGGATTTGTTAACTTTGGAAGAATCATCAACATGTGAGTAAAGATAGATAGTGTCCATTTAGGCAGGTTTCATAAAATATTGTTTGGATTTGTACAGTATTAAAAAAGATATCAATGTTTTAAGTGTCTTGTTTTGAAAGTGTGTAGCAGTATCTAGATATTATTAAGTAGTACAGAAATGATATTGATCATGTCCATGAGGAAATCCACATTTACAGTAGAAAAGGCATAAAGGTTGTTCACCGTTGTGCTATGGATTTTCCATTTGGGAGATTGGCTCCTGTGAAAGTCATAACCAGTGATCTCTGGTCTTATGTAAGGGTCATATCAGTGGTCATAGTCAAGCAAATCAAGCTGAGTGATAAGGTTCTGTCTGCAACAGAGGGATGGTCCTGTACTGTTCCTTACTCTCAACAGCTGAGCAATAAACCTCATTAGATGACACACTTACATGTCAGCTGCCCAGCATTCAAGTATTCTGCAGTACTTTAACTCAAATCTGACAGTACGTTTACATTCCAGACATATTATTTATTAAGAATTGTTGCAACAAAACAAATACAACACGATGGGAAGTCTACACACTTTTGACATCTCCGTATTTTACTAAAACTGAAGAAGAAAATGGGAACTGGAAAGATGGCTGGAGCTGGATTTGACCTTTGGATCATGTACGTTTTTTCAGTAGCTTGGCACATCACTATAACAATCTCCACTGACAACTAGCACTTGTTATCTCACCTTGTACCACACTGGCCACCTCTAGTATAAGAAGTTTGTGTCGTACTGCACATTTGACATTTATGTTAATTATGGTGTCATTCTCCAGCTCAGGATTTAAAGACAGAGCCAGACGGCAGACCAGAGCCAGACGAGAGCTGCCCTGTCTGTGGAGACAAAGTCTCGGGATACCACTATGGGCTGCTCACTTGTGAAAGCTGCAAGGTAAGGCATAGCAAAAATGCCTTCTCTAATGGTACCATAAGGTGCTTTGGTGTTGTAGACCCACTACTATAAAATAAAGATATATTATTTCTGTGCCTATAATGATGCATATTATATTTTGTCATCCAGGATTGTCTTCAATCTGCAGAGAATGAAGCAACAGGTTTATACTCTCTATCTCTCTCTGCAGGGCTTCTTTAAGCGCTCAGTGCAGAATAACAAGCATTACACCTGTGCAGAACAACAGAGCTGCCCCATGAACCTTTCGCAGAGGAAACGTTGTCCTTCATGCCGCTTCCAAAAGTGTTTGGCGGTAGGCATGAAGAGAGAAGGTACTGTAAATTTTATTAACTAAATAATCTCTGCCAATGTCTGAAATCTTGCCATAAAATCATTGATCATTTGTTTTGTGTTCTGTCGACAGCAGTAAGAGCAGATCGTATGAGAGGTGGCAGGAATAAATTTGGACCTCTGTACCGGCGGGACAGACAGATAAAACAGCAAAAAGTGTGTCATCAGGCAAACACTGCTCCCTACAGGATTAAAATGGAAACTACCCAAATACACCGACCCACAGCTCCAAATGACCTTCACCTAATGAGCAGTCACACAAGTGTTCCATTGTCCTCTGATGCTTTTCATCAGTCCCACATGTATCCCTCTGGCATCGGGCAGTTGGGTGCGCCCATGCCTCTGGACTGCACTATGAACACAGACAGGTTGCTCACTCCTCCATCCCTGTCCTACGCTGGACTGTACCACCGCACCTTCCCTGGATACCTCCAGGAGAAAGGAGAAATGCCTCCTGGCTACACTCTAGCTCCTGTGCGCCCAACTCTGAACAATTCATTTACACCAAGAGGCACACCAGCATCATCCCCCTACTTAACTCCAAGCTCAACCACCCCTCTGACCCAGGCTCCCACCCAAATCCTCGACACCCCTTCATCAGCCACTCCTACTTCCAGCTTCCTAAGCCAGCTCCTGGTGGGGGAGCAGGATGAGAGCCAGCTGTGTGCCAAAGTCCATGCCAGTCTGCAGAGAGAACAGGCCAATCGTGGCAAACACGACCGCTTAAATACATTCAGCATCATGTGCAAAATGGCTGACCAGACTCTGTTTGGGCTTGTGGAATGGGCCAGGAACAGTGCACTCTTCAAGGAGCTCAATGTAATGAATAATAAAAATATAATGTAACATAAACCTTATTAGCGGTGGCATTTACTCTTTGCTATGTTTTAGGTGTTTCTCAGAGGTCAAAGGTCATAGCCTTTAATTTGCAACTACAACAGACATCATCATAAATTCTTTATGCTTTCCACAGGTGGAGGACCAGATGGTGCTGTTGCAGAGGTGTTGGAGTGAGCTGCTGGTCCTGGATCACCTCTGTAGGCAGGTGACCTATGGCAAAGAGGGCTGCATCTATCTGGTCACAGGACAACAGGTTGCGTTTTACTACACAAAATGCAGAGCTTATGATTATCAAAAATGTCTTTGGATAGGACATTTTGGGTTGCACAAAAACTTTAATTCTGATGACCACCTTTCTCTAATGCTGATACAGATTGAGGTGTCAACCATCATCTCTCAGGCAGGAGTGACACTAAGTGGCCTGGTATCAAGGACCCAGGACCTGGTGTCCAAACTGAAGGCACTCCAGTTAGACAGACATGAGTTTGTCTGTCTCAAATACCTGGTGCTTTTCAACCCTGGTGAGCTATTACCCTTTATATATAAAATGCACATGAGATCAACTTTGCACAGCTTCTGTTGGCATTGAGTATGTATATGTCATGTGTAAATGTATTGTGTTGATGATGAATATGCCATGTATATTCTTTCTGCTCTAGATGTGAAGTCAGTGCAGAGCCACAGGCAGGTGGAGCAGACTCAAGAGAGGGTGAACAGGGCCTTGATGGAGCACACCCAACGGAGCCATCCGGGACACTCAGACAAGTTCGGCCAGCTGCTGCTCCGGCTGCCTGAGGTACGCAGCATTAGCTTGCAGCTTGAGGAGTATTTGTACCAGCGCCATCTTCTGGGAGATTTGCCCTGCAACTCTCTACTCACTGAGATGCTGCACACCAAGCACAACTGAGAAGAAGCTGCTGTATTGTCAAGCCCTGGTGACACAAGAGTGGCACAGCCTGAGTTTGCTGCTGGGAATTTTTGTACCTCCATTTTGGCCTTTCAGACCCAACAGCGCTCTTTACTTTTGATGATTGTTGCAAATAGTAAACATGCATGCTCAGAAGTGAGGGGAAAACGTTATCCAGGATCAGAAATGGAAAGGAATATTTACTTAACTTGTGTCATGCTTCACCAAAGTGCCCATTATTAACAGTATTACCACAGCCAAACAGCCCTGTCTGTCAGTACCGTTTGACAGATCTGAGATCCAAGCACTACCATGATGTTTTTTTATTAAGCAGAGCTCAACTGTGTAAAGAAAAAGGAAAAATGCATCATTGAATAAAGATATCTGTTTTTTGAAAATTCATGACTGGATTGACTTGTGTATCACCAGTTTCACTATCTGCCAGAAAAGCTCTGTTTCTGCAGAAAGATTTTGCCTCCACTCGTAGGCTATTAGCACAAACTGATATCAACTGTATCCAAACCCAAAATTCTAATAACAAACAATGGAAAAAAATAAACATGGGAATGAAAAAAGATAGATGATGATGATTTAAAAAGGATTTTTATTTGTCTGGTCCAGTTGCCAAGGATAGTCAATTTGTGAAATGAACATACATAATGTGCTGGCACAGATTTGATAACAGAACAGAAAGAAAACAACATAAACATATTTTATGACAACTTCTATGAAATGAATGAGTGATTTACGACCTTAACCAAAAGTGACTTAAGTAAAACCTGGAACTAAACATCAAATGCACCATCTAATGCAAACCAAATAAATACACCTCTGGGTGACATGGGGGTTTCTAAGGGAGAATTGCACAGAATCAAAATATAGTGTATAACTACCACATACTATCCTTTACAAACACATAAATACAAACATCCACTAATTCCATATGCACTCCTCCACTCACACTTTTATTCAATCATCTTACCATTTTTCCTAAATGCTGCTCGACATTTTTTTTCACATCTGCATTGGAATCTCATTCAAACAACACATTTTTTGGAGGCAGTCAGTGATTTGAAAGAAGACAGCTGCGCCACGGCAGCTGCTGTAGTGCTAAAGACTGCAAAGGAAGGCCAATTTCCCACAGATATTTTGTGGTAGTATTGACTTGATCACAATTAATTGCAGGGTCAAGTGTTTTTCCAAATAGCATGGAGACACTGAAAGAAAAAGAAAACAGCTCTTTGTGTTACATTCCCCCAGTTATGAATGAAGGAGTCTCTAGAGACTGTTTGGGGAAGATGAGGGCTGTTACAGTCCGGAATGATCCTTCATTAAGAAACCTACTGTCCATATGCCAGGGCACACAAACAGGGAATCATATCATAAGAAACGGACTCCTAGTTACCTAAAGGATTTATTAATCCCTAGACAAAAGGTTTCAGCAATTTTCAGCTGTTTGACAATTTCTATTCATTCTCATTCACTCATTCTCATCTCAAACATACATCTCACTAATGCTTAAGCAGCAGGCTAGCTTATTCGTAGCTTACAAAGGTTAACTTACTTTTTACAAATCATTGTCAAAAAATCAAAGTAATCAGCATTCAGTATATATTAAATCAGCATTGATTATCATTTTCACACAGAGCTGTATCCAAGTAGTGATAAACATGATAAAGCCCTCCTTCATGTTTCCAGTATTGATTTTTTTTTTTTTTCAAGATAGCTCAGATAACATTTCAATTCATCACATGTTGAAAATGAGAAAGCAAGTTAAGAGGAAAAGGTCACATGAATTTCATTCTTCTTTCAGCTCTCAAAGGCCGAAGCGATTTGTCCAGCAAAAACATGTCAAAAGAGTATAAAAAAAACATCCAGATGTCTACAGCTGAAGGAGAGTTGGAATGGAGTGGAATGCATGAACTATGGGGGCACAGGCAGTTTCTAGGTGTGCAAGTCCATTGACAACCACAGTAGCCACCACCAGTGCGGCCCACAGAGGAACAACCCAATATTTTCTTGTCCTGACCAACCAGTGAAAACACCTCTGAATGGAATGAGTGGTTAGTGTGTGTCCTACATTCATATGAGAGCAGTGTTACCTGCTATTCATTTTCAGCTGAGATCTCCTATCAGAACTGAGAGCTGAGCCACTTATCTCAGTAGACTGGAGAGAGAGTGAGCCCTGGAAGAAGAAAGGCAGCAAAAGGAAAAGCAAGCAGAATTGAGAGGGGCGGGAACTACTCTGGCCCAAAATACTGTTGTGTGGGCAAAGGCAGTGTGGTTGTCCCCTCTTTTTCTTACCTAAGAGTCATAAAAATGACCCCAGGGGCAGGGTAAGGCAAGGCATGAGGAGGCAGGGGGCAAGGTAAAGAGAATTCTTCATCCCGACAGAATCACATTACATTTTACAATCTAGGTAGACCAGGCAGAGCCAATCAGAAGCTCTCAAGAGAGAAACTATTGTAACTACATTGGCTGAATGAGTGAGTGATTGGCCCTTTCTGTTGGCATGTAGAGTTGACTGGATTGTTCTCGGGATCCAGGCTGCAAGCTGGCCAAAAGCCTCATCAGTCATGCTGTCCACTGCTCATCTAACTGGGTAATAAACAATCTCAAGTGCCTCACTCGCCAAAACAGAGGACAACAGGAGTCAAGTTGGGAGTTGGTTCCCTGAATTGTAACACCCATCCTGGGTATATCATTATTTGGGGGTGCCAAGCTTCTTCGGAGTCCCTGGGCGCTTTTGCCAAAAGTGACCGGGGATGGTGAAGGCGTCAACACTCATGGACATTGTTTTGGACGGGATGGCAGTGAACTGCTTGCGGTCAGAGCTGTACTTGTAAATGGACTCAACCATCTCAGGTGCGATGATCCGGGGCCCAATGCCAGTGAGCCGTATCATCTCCTCAGTTTCAGAGTTCATGGTATAAACTGCTCTGAACTGGCAGCTGGTATCTCTGAAGAGGATGAGGAAATGGTTGGCCATGCTCTTCTCCATTTCCTGAAGAGGGAGAGACAGAAAAAACAACAACACAAGGTAAGAGGAGTTGACAACTGAAATCACAGTCACTTGTAGGCTAGTAAATGGGGACCTCTTTGATGGACTCTGACACAGCAGCATGGATTTACCTCTACAATCTTGTTTTTCTGTGGTTCATTGACCTTGCCAGCCAGGCAGCAGCGAGTGATAGCATTATGGATGATGAACTTGTTGGACTTAAAGCTTGGCTCCTTGTACAGCTTTGGTCCTGCAAGACACAGTATTTTAAAATGTCATTAACTCAACAAAACAATGCTCACTGGATTCACTTTTTTATAATCTCTCAGTTTGGAACATATGACTGACCTGTGTATTCTGGGATTGAGGCAGGGGAGGAAATAGTGGAGCCAGTCTCCCAGTCCTTCTCTCCGTTCTGAGCACTCGTTCGTCTTGGTGACATTAGCCGGGAGGGAGAGTGTGAACGGCTAGAGAGAGTCCAAAAAAGTTTTGTGAGGAAAGTCAGGTACAGACCTTGAGGCTGTGTGTACATGTTATGTTACATGCACCTTTGCCCCTGATAACACTGATAAGTTACCAAAATACCAGTAGTTGGTATACAATTATCCATGAACACACACACACACACACACACACACACACACACACACACACACACGATACATTGATATCAATATTCTGACAATATTGATGATCAATAATAATGTGTAATAACCACACAGAGGTAATGCTTGCTTAAAACTTTACTCCACTGAATCATAGTTAATATAAAGATATCAATACTATGATATACTGCACAGCTCCACTTTATCATAGGAACATGTTGTAAAATAAATTTTATGTCTCTGGGATTTAAAATCATTTTTACACTGTTTTAGGCTGAATTACATGCCTCCCACTTGCCAAGCAAGAAAATACAAGCCATCATCACTGTGCAGGTTACCTTGGAGACTTCCTGACAGTCAAGCCTCCAGAGTCATTAGCCATAGAGGACAGGTTCGTGGTTGACTGGGAGTACACCTTGTTCAGCTTGGTGCCTAGAAGGAGGAAGAGAGAGGACGGAAAAAGAAATTACATTGAGAAACCAAATACATGTGAGTGTAGGAAGAGGGCATACAAGGACTAAGAACAGTGTGGGCACACATCAGAACTATTTACCCATGAAACCCTTGACAGGGCTATGAGAGAGGACGGAGTCATCTCTGAATACAGTCTTGGGTCTCTGCTTCTTGACACCACGAACCGTGGTGGGTTTCTGCCTCAGCACCTTGCCCAAGTCCTCCATGATCTTCAGCTGGTGTCTCCTCTCATACTCCTGTTTAGTGAAGTCTCCTCTGCGCTGGGGCGTCCCCTCTACTGGGGTACTTGATGCTGGAGAGGTGCCTGGGGTCTGCGGTCTGTCCTCACTCTTGTTTCCCCAGCCCTCGATGATCATCCACTGAGGCTTGCTAAGAGTACAGGACAAATAACATGTAAAACTTGTGTGTGACACGGACATTGCAAAACCAATGATTAAAAAAATGAGGAGACTGCTGTATCAGACAAGTAATTGACTTGTGTGTTTAATTCACTAAACATAGAACAATAAATCAATAAATATGAATCATCATCAGTTACACGCTGCAAAAATCTGACTACCCTGAATAATTCTAATGTAACATACTCAACGCCAGTCTCCATTTAGTTATAAATACAGGTATTTGAATATTAAAAAGGGCCTTACTTTGATTCTTTTTCTTTTTCCTGCTCAAGTTTGCGTCTTTTAATCTCTTCTGCTCTTTTCTGCTGTTTCTCCAGCAAAGCTGCTCTTTTCTGGGCCATCTCATCCTCCGGTCGCTCCTTGTCATCCTAAAAATAAAGACAGAAGTAAAAAGTCATGAATGCACTGACCTTACAAAAACAGCCCTTTTAGAATGGCACAGTAATAAAAATCAGCCTCCTACCTTGAAAAAGAAACCAAGCCCTGCTTTCATCTCTGGCTCTGTTTGGTCACTCATTGAGTCAGAGAAAGCGTCGGGTAAATCCTCCTCCCCATCTCCTCTCAGAGCAGACAGTGAAATCTCTATCAGGCTACTACGTTTGCCATTCAACATCCCTGCAGGGGCATCACTCTCGAAGGAGCACTCTGAGGGGGCACCAGAGCTGCAGCCCCCACCTGCAAACCCTTCCTTCTTTGCGGAAAGGCCATGGGAGGGCCCGGCCTCCAGGTCCATACTAAATATACTATGATCGTCATTTGAACCTATCTCTGACAGGGTGTCATCTGCGGCAGGACGGGGAGTCGGGGTAGGAGTTTGTACAGGGGTCAGTGTAGGTGTGGGAACAGGAGTTGGTCCGGAAGAACGCAGCTCATCCAGGCGATCAGAGTCACCAATGGAGAATGAGGACGAAGTGTGGACTTGGGATTGCAAGGGATTTACACGACGGAGGTGGGGGATCCGGTCCACGTTTTGAGGCGCAGTGATGGCCCTCGAAAGGGTTGGGACCTTAACATCCAAGGGACGACTGTGTTGGTGGTGTTTCGGGGTTTTAGGGGGCACAGACTGGGCTCTACGATGGACATGAGGAGATTTAGGAGGAGTGGTGTGGTTTGTGATTTTGCGGGATGGAGAGGGAGAGGAAGAGGCTGAATTTAAATCTCTGGTGGATTCTCGTGACATGCGTGCAGAAGTAGGGGCTGGGGTGGAGGTTTTAGGGCTGGCTGGAATGACCCAGGTTTTGTTGCTGGAAGCTGGAGCTTTCTTGTTGATTAGCTGGTTCTGCTGCTCAGTCAGACGCTGCATGTCACTTTGCAGGGAGTTAAGAGCTGCAGTCAGCTTGGATACAGCATTGTTATAGTCCCCTAGTGGCGCTACCATTTTCTCACCAGGTGTCCCAGAGCCCTTTTCTCCTGGTGTACCTGCCTTTTCTTTGGAGTGACTGACCTGTTTGTTAAGCTTATGTCCTTCTTTGACATTACCCTCATCCTCCACTGAGAGGTGCTGTTCATCTTGTTCTTGTTGCTCTTCCTCTTCCATTTGAGCGAGCCTTTCTTCCAGGGTCAAGCGAGAGAGGTCTTCTTCTGTGGATGAAGTGCTGACCTGGCCGTCTTCGTCTTCACGTTGCTCCTTCTTTAACTGCAGAAAGGCACTCTTCCCCAGCCTTTGCCTGTGCTTTGCAAAAATGGCCTCAATGCGTTTCTTCTGGGCTTCAATAGCCTTGCGCTTTTCTTCCAGCCGAACCCCCAGCTCAGACATCTCATTATTGAGTTGTGGGCTCTTGGTGGGACTTTCCTCAGACTTTTGGGCCCACGTTGTCATCTGAGAAGAAGTGGGGTCGCTGGCCTTGGGAGAATCCATAATCTGCTTCTTTTTACGTTCGGCAAAGCTGGTCATCTTCACACCACTGTCAGGCACCTCTTTGCCATGGCTTCTAACAGGGTGTGTGCCAGCAGCTGGTGTGGTTGGAGTGGACTGGGCCTTAGGCAGGTCTTCGGACGCATCCGAGTCCACGCTGCCGTCTCTTAACACAGAGTCATCATCTCGTGAACATTCAGAGGTGTTTCTGGTGCGAGTGGGCTCCCTGGACTCTCCTGTGGGTCGGTACATCATTCCTGAGCGTGTTGGGGCAGAGCAGCTGATGGGTGCTAAGTTGGGTAAGTTATGTCTCGAACTTGCAGGGTCATCGGGAGAGTGGAGGTAGAAGCCATCAGGCGCACCATCAGGGTGTAAACGAGGCTCCATCTTGCTCTCGTTGTGGATAATTTGGAGAGCCTCTTCAATGGTGGGCAGCTCTCCTGTTTCACTTGCTGCAAGGCCATTCTCCTCCGCCAACCTTGGAATACTGGGAGTCTGGGTGGCCCAAGAAGCTCTCTGTGGACCATTGGGGCCAGGGGGTTTGCTCAGTAAATGGCTAAGGTCTTCAGGAGGTGTGTACGGCACCCGGGTCATATTTTGGCCTGCTGGGTTGAGTTGGTCTGAGCTCACAGAGCGGGTTATCACAGGGTTGCCCATCACAATGTCCACATCACTGTCCAGGCCAAAAGGAATGCTGAAGGATACTGCTGACAAGGGGCGGCTAAGAAGAAGAACAACAAAAAAGCAAGTGTAAGTACAATAAAAACAAGACAGTGTTTAAATGGTACTGAATATATGGGTCCTACCTCAGAGGTTTCTTGCTCCATGTCTTTCCAACTCCTTCTATATGAGACATTGAGGTAGACTGAGTCAAAGATCCTGAATACAATGGGACACACACAGACATGTAAAGGCATGCACACCACACAGGGATGCACAAATCAACCAAGCAATACACCAATAAAAGGAAAAATGATGTACAAAATGTTTCAAATATAAATAAAAATAAGAAAACATGACTATCATACAACACAAAACACAACTAAAAGACGAACAAGGATTGAGGGGAATGGGTGAGCCGATAATACAAACATACACCAAACACTGTAGCTTGAAGTAATGATGACAGGACACAGTCTTAATCTTACCTGACGCAGGAGAGGAGATGGGGAGGAAAGGCTTCTTGAAGATAGAAGGGGAGGTACTGTAAGGCAGAGAAACAATTTTTTAGTTCAAACTAAAGCTCTTTCAAAAAATATGCCAGACGTCTACAAAAGCAAAATCATATTCAGAGAGCTTCTGTACCTGTTACCACTCAGGCTACTTGGTGTTACTGGTGTCGATCCATCTGACAAAAAACAAAACCCCCAATAAGACTCTGTTACAGATATCCAATATTATGATTACACTGTATGACACAGGACCACAACATTGGTGACACTTACCTAATGTGTCGATTGGCTGAACAAATTCTGGCCTTCTTATTTCAAACCAGTAAAGCAGTTCTGCTAGGAAGTTCAGCAAGTTGAGCTAAAAAACACACAGAATAAACAGAACTCAATATTTTGGTGTAAACGTGTCACTCGGTTGATTAATTATCAAGAATGTGAATGTAAGTACCTGAAGCTCTTGTGGTGTGTATAGCATGTCCTCCAGTGCCAAGTGACAGCAGCTCTTCAGACAGCTGTCACAGAATTCATGGATGACCTGCAGGTTGTACAGGCTGTCTGCTACAGACATGGACTCCTTCATACAAACATCTTACATAGAGAGAGAAAGGTGTTAAACTGACATAAATACAATAAGTACAACAACATTGTTTGTGGTTAGAATCTTTGTTTTTACCTTCAAGTCTCAGCAGGCCAGGGCAATAGTAATGTATTACTGCAGCAACAGCACAGCCACTGGACAGGTCTTTGACTTCATTCACCACTGGGAAGATAGGCTTTTGTTTGGACTGAATTTTATCCTTCCTGTAGCGGAGCTGAAAAAACAAACAAACAAGCAAACAATACAATCAAATATTGCAGTGTGATCTCAATTGTACTTTGTTAATGTTAATTTAAAATATATGACATATTAGTTAATGTTAAAACCATCATTAAAGTCAGGGTTTTCCAAACAGGTTTGGATACTCTAATGCACTGTGAAACACAATACAAAATGTTTTTTACAAAAAAGAATTGGAATATGAATGTAAGAAGATAAAACAAATAAAGGCCATGCTAATGTGTATAAGAGAGAACTTGTGAATACATAGCAGATGCAAACAGAGTGAGAATCAGGAGAGAAAGAAGGAAGGAAGGAGAAAGTGGGACAAGAGAGGGTCTCAGGAGGCAAGGGAGAGAGAAAAAAAAATTTCAGGTACGACCACAGTATATAGACAAACAGCCCACTGTCAGTAGGGACCAGTTGACTAGAAGCCTGTCTCTGTTAACCCCCACTGCCATTCACACACAAACACACACCTCTGTTGCACAGAGGACCAGAGGAACCTGTTGAACATGGCAGTTTCAAGGCCTGCTTGAGTACAGATTGTGATTCATGCACCACTCGTGTTTCAACAAACAATGCTTTTGCGCCGTTGTCCAGCCCCGCCCTATGACATTTATGCTGTGACGTGCAATTTAACGCAAACTAGGATGTGATGCACACGAGCATTCCCACACCAGCGTATGGAGAGAGAAAAAAACACACCTGACCATTAGATAATTGCTGATAAATTTGATGAAGACACTTGAGGGATGGAGGGACAGGGGGAGGGAGCAGAGGAAAGGAGGGAACTTACAGGAACAAGTTTCCAGTACCAGCGAGTAGGACACTGTCAGAGAGGAGGAGGGACAGGAAATAGAAAAAGACAAGGAAATGGAGAATAGGAGCACAAGGAGAGGTATTAAGCCTACAGTGAAGAACTAGACAAACAGGAGAAAGGGTTGTGATGACGGCACTTTCTTGAAATGACAAGACAACCTTGTTGACAAAGCAATGACGCTACCCTTAGTTTTAATGTATCAACCAATGCTGGCTGTACTAGTAGAGTATGAAAGCCTACAAGGGCAGCAGAACCAACAACACAAGCTTAATACACAGCACTTTGGGTGCTTTTTTTTTATAGCACTGAGTGCATAATCCTAGACAGATAATCATGTGTGTTATATATAATGATGTGTGAAAAGAGATACACTGAATGTGTAATGCAATACTCACTGAGGGTTGAACAGGTTGGGGCTCTGTAATGGCCTGAGATGTGTTATTCTGGGCTCCTTCAGTACGTTCTCTCAACTTCTGGTTTAACTGAGCGCATGCCAAGAAAACAAAATAGTTAACACACATAGGTCAAAGATCTACAGTATGCTGTGTACAGCATCTTTATTTCTGTAGCTAAACAGACACTGGATGACCTACAACAAAGGTCTTAGGAAACATCTAAACAATAAGTAATTTCTGACAGGATACAATAAAGATGTGTGCTCAAAACAAGCATTGTTTCTCTTTGGCTTTCTCCTTACCACATTAACCCACTGAAGCAGAGCATCCTCCCAGTTGGAGGCTCCACCCAGGAGCTCGGCAGAACCACATGTCTTCACCGCAGTCACCGTCTCCATGGCTCCCACGGTCATCAGGGCATCGATCACTGCCAAGTGAGCACTCTGCACCAATCACATGGGAGAAGGAAGAGGAACTGTCAGAGGTGGGACCATTCGCAGGCAAAGACCAGAGAGTCCAGACAGCATCGATCATTACAGCTAACACAATAATGCTGGGCACTGACATTTCTACTGCTCTAGCAGGGCACTGCTTACTGCAGAACAGAGATCACCTCCAACTGCGGCAGCACTACCATTATTTACCAGCAGCATCCTCTAGAGGTCACCAGAAGCCAGCTGTGAGTCAGCAGAAACATGGAGAAGAGTTCTAAGCAAGCAAACACACAGTAGTAGATGTGGTTGAACTTTGGACCTATGTTTGTACAATCATTAAATAGCCAATGGACCTGTAATATGAGAACATTTGTGTCCCACGACTGTCATTCCTCAGCTGCTTTACCTTTATTTGCCTTCTCTTCAGTGTGCTTCCCTAACCTATTGCGCAGTGAAATATTGCTGTATGACTCATGTTTAACAGACAACAGGATAAAATGAGGTGCTGTAACTAGATCACCTGGAAGCACAACAATGAACAGCATTCTCTGTAAGAAACAAGCGTTCCTTGTCTTTTCTGCAGTTCTGGTGTATGAATGTTTTTGTCTGACAAGATAACCGATATAAAATTGTTTTTCTCACACAAATACAACAATCAAACATTAACACGCTTGCTTACACATATTTGACATTCCCAGGCATTTGAATCCAACAGACATAAGTATACTTGAGAGGCCATTACAGTGGCCTTTCTAATGGCTACAGCCCATTAAAATGCACCACAAACATTATCAGCTCAGTCAGAGAGAGCGCCTTAACTCTATAAACCTGTTAGCTCATTAGAAGTTGTGCCATGCGGCTGCAACCAACAGCACTTTATATGTCTAAATTCCATATTGTTGTAAATGATTCTGAAACATTTTAAGTGCATTTAAGTCAGAAATGCAGTTTTTGAAAGACTGGGGTTTTTTTTTTTTTTTTTAGAAAGCCTCAACAGGACCATAGTTCATTAACAAAGTCAGTGTTAGTCTAGAAAGACTAGGGGGTCGGGGTTTGATTCCTGTGAGGTTATATTCTACAAACAATTCTTCCTCCCCATCTTGTCAATGTATTTTAATGTATGATCCTTCTCTCTCTGCCTCCTCTATCTGTATCACTTTTAGTTACCATCCAACAGCAGTACTAGAGCCCCTCTCTCCTCGCCATAGGCTAACTGCAACCACTTCCTTGTGATAATAATTAATTCTGGCCAACAGAGAGGACAGACATGTCACAAACAACACATTCCTGTCATGGGGCCTCTCCTTCAATCTCCAATCTTCAGTTTTGAGCCTAATCTGTGCAAATCAGTGCCTGTTCCCTTTTACTACTTACAAATTCCACTTTAGAGGCCAGACATTCCTCCTCTAACCTCTTACGTTGCCCCAGTTGGGGGCTGGTGGCAGTCCAGCTGCGTGCATGAGCCCTGTCTGCATGTCTGCCTACTCAACCCTGATGTAAAGTGCTGACCTGGGCAGACCCAGTGCTGGGGCGGGCAGGGCGGGTTATGCCAGCAAAGGCTTGTCAGATAGCATTGGGCCAACTTCTCTGGATGTGCTGCAGTCAGTCACTGGGAGCTGTGTGGCCCTGGCAGCCATGCCCTCCCAACACTGTTGCCAAGACTAGTGCTGCTGCTTGTGTGTCTGTGACATGATTTGTCTGTTCAGTGGAAATGTCTGCAATACAGGAGGGGACAAATGGCCTGGGAATAGGGACAACACTAAGGAACAGCTTGGTTGCAGGCATTAGTTTCCTTAATGCAATGAGAACTATTCACCTGTATTATTAAGGAAAACCCAAGTATTGGATCAGGACTCCATGTATCAGCAGATACTTTATTTTAAATGGGGATCAGGGGCAAAAAAACTGGATTGGGACTTTTTCCCGTGGTATCAAATTGGTATTAGGAAACATGGAATTTCACTGGTATTGGTATCAACTAGTAAATTTCATCATGACATCCCTACGTCAGTGGTTCTGAACATTTTTGGTGTCAAGGCGACACGTATTTGATAAGATGTAGTCTCAAGGATCCTAGTCTGATAAGATTTAGTTATTCCATAACTGTCTTTACTGTAGATTGGAGAGTGTGAAACCTATGGAGAGAATAGTCATTCTCTTAATTACTTCTAGTCAATGAACTAATGGTGAAATTAAAATATTCCTAATTTTTATAGGGATCCCTAGAACCCCAGGTTAAGAACCACCATACATTTGCCATTTTGTGATATATAATACACTCCCTGGCCACTTTATTAGGCATGCAACCTAATGCAATCCAGTCTATAATTCTACACTTATGAAACTTATAATGGGCATTTTCTTTGTTAAAACCTGACATAAATACAATAAGTTCTAAAACACTGTTTGTGGTTACCTTCAAGTCTCAACAGGCCAAGGCAATAATAATGCATTACTACAGCAGTAAACATGAACCCCCATGTTTGTTAGGCAAAACATTAGAAACATGTTTTTAAATTTAAAGTATAAAACACCCATTGATTATATAATAATACAGTTAATATTGTGATATTGATTTCAACCATTTTTGGCTGTCCAAGGCCTGCTAAATTCTGCCAGTAGCCATGTTACTGAAAGAAAATGTATGAAAAGAAAGAAAGTAGTAACATATTTTTGCATCTAGCCACAAAGTGTAATCATAGGTTGGAGCTATTGTCACAGTATGAAAGGAGACAGGATGACTGAGAGAAAAGGAGAGGCAATGACATGGGATGAACAAGACAAAATGAAAGCAGTTGTACAGCAGTTATTCAGAGGAGAGAGTGGAGAGTATTTCATGACAAAAAGTGCAGAATGAAAAGGGGAAGAAGGGCTTGCTAGTGGATTTCCCGGTGCAGACCCAGGAGAGCTCGCTAAGCTAAATCACAAGTCTCCCTAATGAGAGGGGAGAGAGGAGCAACTCATGGACACCGAGCACAGAGCCTGCCAGATCACCATAACAACCAACCAGCTGACCCACAATGCATCGCAACACAAGCCTGACCACAGCATTGCTCCATGCCCCTGGCTTAGCACCGGCTCTCTGCTCGGAAACATCCAGACAGCAAACAGTTAGGAGTCCCCCCCCAAACTGATGTGACAGAGAGGAAAAATTAATACCCTATCAATTAACCCCATCAACATGAAATCTTTAGGGCTCTATTTGGTAAATCTGCTTGCATAATTGTGGAGTCAAACAAAGAACGCAAATGTATCTTATGAATCATTAAGTGAGATTACAATGAGGGCAAAATCTGATTATGTCTGAAATATGACTTAACCCCATCCCCCTTCTTTGCCTGGTGCCTACTGATGGGGAGACAAACAGGGGGATCAGGCAGGTCTGGGGCCCAGCAGGGGATTTTAGACAGGAGACTCTCTCAAAACAAATGGTTATATGAACACTGATATGTATATGAACTGTTTGTTTAAACAAGGAAAACCAGTCTGGAATAGATTTACACCAAACTTGTTAAAACAGTAGATAATTTCATTACTACTCCATGTTAGTTTCTCATCGGCGAAGGCCAAATGCTTAACAAACGGTGTAAGATGATGGTTAGCATTTCTGATAGTCTGCCACTTCTATTTTCAACTAAGCTCCGGACTGATGCTCACTTGACCAGAAACTTGCCAGCACAGCAGTATGATTTAAGACAAAGTGTCAGTGCCTATCTAAAACCAACAGGGGACCGGGAAGAGGGTTAGCTGCATTATGGCTACATGACTTGCGTTGTCACTGTGGGAACAAATGCTCCCATGTCTAGTGTAATAAAAACACTAGTTATGTATTCAACAGTATGTTTAAAATGGATAATAGGGCTGCACAATTAATCACAATACTGACAAAATTGCAATATGGGAAGAAAGAAATTCTGAATTGATGCCCTAGCCTACAAATCTTGTTCTCTAGATTTCAGAAAACAGATTACTAGATTTGTTTGCTACAGACCAGCAACATATTTCACATCATCATGATTTTAATTGTTTTGGTATTGGATCTGTCAAAATAATCACAATATGATGTTTTTACCATATGGTGCCGCCCCACCAGATAATTATGATTCTATTCTACGGTCTCCACCAACAATAAATGTAACAAATTAGTTTGTTGAGGGATATGTTAGGTGCATGGTAAGTCAGTGGTCATCTCTGGCATGTCATCCAATCGTGGATGATGACGTTCAGTCTGCATGGCAGATTATCTCTAATCTGAGCTGGGCCACAACCAGAAGGACAGTTACCAGTAGGGCGCACACACACACGCAGAGCACGTAGGGGATTGCGGCAGCTGGAGGCTCCATTGATGAGCCCCAAGGATGTCCCTTCTACAAAGCGTTTCTTTCAGTATAACCCTGGCCTGTAAAGATACTGGTGCTAGCTTGGGTTGCAGGAGCAGAGCCATTGAGTTTCTGTTTCAAGAACTTCATACCCTCTGCACACACTCTCAAAGTAGGCCAAAAGCAGATGCATTAATACTTACCAAAGTATTGAAATAACCAAATTAGAGTAGCTAAACTTTCTTAAGATTTTAACCTGTTATGTTTTGCATAAACTATTACAATAGCTGTGATACAACACATACTTTCTAAAATTATTGTCAGTACCATGTTTACAAATGCATCCAACGTACATGAGTTTATAAGACACTACGGAGATTAAGGCTTTCATGTTAGACCTGGCCGTCCCCTATTACATACAATTGAGAGAAAAATGGAACTCGCCTTCTACTTGTCCCAGATAGCTCACACTTTTTCTAATTATTAACCCAGACATTTCAAGGTCTAGAAGCTGGGACACACAGCACATTTGTCTTTATCCTGTAGCAGCAACCTACAGTTTGATGAAGAGAATGAATACTGTAGCACAGTTTTATATGTTAGGTGAACTATGCTGGCTCTATTTTTGCCCTACTTTGATAATAGCACAGACTGTCATTTTACAGAGAGCAGGTCATTGGCAGTCCACACTGATGCTGTTGCTGCAACCGAAGCCAGTACCACCCTCTTTATGGTTTATGGTAAAACCTACATCCCTGGATTTATACATGTGCCAAATTTCATAATTATCAGCAATGAACAGCAAACATACAAGACATGTGATGCATCAACAACAAAGTGAAAAGTCATCAACATTCGTCTGCAACAAGCATGACTCAACATACTTTTATGTACATATACTATAGTAAATGTTATCCTCTTGTTTGACACACATATGTAAAGCTTTAATATACAGCAGTGCTGCAGCGGATTGCTGCTGCTCCAAAGCTGTTTACTGGCCAAGACCCACATTGATGCTCCATCCTTCTAATGCTGCTGCAGCATGACCCACTTTCTTTGCTTGCCACACTGTAGCTACAGTGCCAGCCAGCGGCAGACAAGCTCAGAGAGCTTTCTATGGCCAAGCAGCAACTGGAAGTTTCACATACCAAAGCAGCAAACAGCAAATGCAGCATTAACAGTAACAGCCAAAATAAGAGTTTAATGATTAGGATTTACAGCTGAAATGTCCCTGGTTTGGCCTGGAAGGATCACCCAGAACTGAGAAGCATGCAAGCAAATGAATGCACACACAAATTACAGCAAAATAAGGCATGAAAGAGACCTACTGCATCATTAGGCCATTATTTCTGGTGCTTAAGTGTTAATGATGAAGATGAAACTGAAACTGTTATTATTACTGTGACGACAATTTTTAATCTTTCAAGCTAGTGGTTTTTTTAAAAAATATTTTTGCCACTGAATGCCCTGTTTGTGTCTTGTTGTGAAATTGCACATCTGTCGGTGTGTCAGGGGGTAATTGTCAGAAATCCTACAAGAACAAACTGGTGTGTGGTTTAGAAAAACACTGCACACACCTCTAGTAGAAGGACTATATGACCTCACATTCAGTGCAAGAGGAGGATGCATGTGACATGCTTTAGGCTGTACATGTAGAACACTAAACCAACACACCATGAATACAATGGCACTGAAAATTACTAAGATAGATTACAGAACATTTAAACATATAGTGAGACCTACACAATTAGATTATGCCTTGTGTAAACAGAGGTAGTACATGATAAGGCAAAACATTAGATAATAATAAACAGAAAAGAATTCCCCATTTGAGGAACCTTCTCCATCCGGTCCTTGCCAGCTTTCTTCCTGTACTGTCTTTTTATCTGTGCAAAACAACCTGTCAGGTACCAAAGTACAACTTTGCCAGTATTTATTTCATCATTTCATACCTATACCACACTACTGCATTAGCCAACATTCAAATAATCATATTACCAAGCTCTATTCCGAATGGTCACACAATTTCTATGCTACTTAATTCAGAATGTCACAGATGCATGCACACCTTTTCATGCATACAATTAATCTAATAATCACAAGAGCACCAGCAGTGTCACACCTGCTACAGTGGCCAGTAGACAGCAGCAGTGGAGCAAACAGCTTTCATCTAACAACAACACCATCCATACGGGTCCCTGAAGACTCCCTACTTTCAAAAAAACAGCCTGTATGTGCATGCACACCAAGGTGGTTGGGGAAATCCCATTTTTTGTGGAAGATAATAATCTGCATATAGGAAGGTTTTGTAGGAATAATTCAAAACTTAAGTACAGTGAGTTGCTGTTGTGTCAGCTGGAGCAGAAAAGTTAATGTTCCATCAAAACAAAATCTCCTTATTTGAAAATAAACTTAGTTATCTGCAGGTTTTCAGGCTGACAGATTTAGGACAATATTGTGTGTGTCCTAAAGAGAGAGAGAGAGATCCATTGTCAAGGACTAGGAGGACAAACCAGTTTCTCTTGATTTAACTCACTAAGTAAGCACAGCCCAGTCTCAACACAGTATCTAAAGTTTCACCAGAACTGTTTAGCCATTGTCCTGCAACTGATCTGGACCATCTATTGAATCTCGACCCTCCCTCCCTCCCTCTCACGTCCTGGAATTAAAGTAGTCATCCCTTGTGTCACCATGACCGCCCTAGTCCCAGCAGCTGGATCCATTCTCTAGGATCAGCTGGGGGCAGCATAAGGGGATGGGGCTGGGGTTGAATGAGTGGGGGTCTTTTTGATGTCCTTTAATCTCTAGAATCAAAGCATAAACAAGCCCCTATATCAACAGCCCCCTCAACCCCTTCTGCTTTTCTACAGACTCCTGGATAGCAGAGCATCTGGTTCAACAGGAGGACACATTCACTCCTCCCAGTGACAGATAAACATAAAGCTGTTTCTACCCAAACAACAGTTTACACTGCAGTGTAAACACTGTATAGATTGCCCCAAGACAACCCACAAAATTGCATGCCAGACTGGTGTGGGGTCATCATCTATGCGTTTACTGTTCAAATAACAAAACCATAACGTTACCATTTTGATGGGTTTATGTCGAAGGTCGACATCAGTCACTGGTGTGTCCTGATCTTTGGAGACTATGCCTCTCTGAGTGAGGAGCTGCACCAGGGCGGCGTTGTCTTTGGGCTGTGCCTCAGCTTCGGTGCCCCCCAGTAATAGGCTGTAGGTGCGGCAGTAGAGCTCTGAGGACTGCAGGAGGCGCGTGACTGGTGGTTTAAGGTGCTCCTGCTCATACTGGTCACAGTAGAAGGGGTCACGCAGCTCTGCAGGGACATTTTCTACCAAGAGACAAAACATACAGACACAGTTATATACGTTCCTGGAACAGTGGTCCTACTACAGAACTGGTTGCAAAATTTAACAAACAATATGTTGAGGGAGATGTGCCGTATAAATAGGATGATGTTCTGAATGTTCAGAAAGTTCTGAAAAGGGGACAATGTTCTCTCGTTAGCAGTCCCTTTAATTCTTCAAAGATCATCTTGAGCGTGTTCTACTGTTGGTGGCTTGGAAACCTGCTTTCGGCCAGGTTTGGTGGCAGATTAAGACAGATGGTTTATACCCTGGAGCTATAATCATATGAGTGAGTAGAGCAGAGCAAGCATCAAGGTCAGTGGGGCATGATGAGCTCAGAGGTTGGTATCTGCAGATTACAAGATGCTCGGCCACTTGTTTCTTTCTGCTTCCCGCTTAAAAGCCTCATGCTTCATTTTTGTACAAAGCTTCAGTGAAAATTGCTTTGTCCGACCTTCACAAATGTGACCAGCAACCTGACCAAAACCTACACTTTTAAAACTATCAAAATCAAATGAGACAACTCTGATTCTGTCTCATTCCAGAGAAGTAAGGCAAAATGTAGTACTATTAGTGGCTAGCTGAAGATTGTTAAAGAATCTGTTCAGACTGGTCTTTCTGTAAATAAGATCACAGCAAACATATACTAAAAACATATACTAGACACGCCCTTTATGAAACTGGTTTCTCTGCATTCAGACCAAACCAGCAGCAAACTAAATAGCCTGTGTCTCTGTGCAAACATACTGGAATATGCTTCTCACTTTTAAAAGGGCCTTCGGGGAAAAAGTTGACAAGCTGAATTACCAGGAGTCTGTCTGAAATGAGAAAGGAGAAACTTATGAGTGTCTAAGATTGTGCCTAACAGACACAAAGGGGTTATTATGAGGGAGGTGTCACTATGTTGTTATATAATTATATAGTCTTGTAATGGATCCACTGACATCAGACAACAAAACAAAACGCCCAGCTTCAGAGGTCAGACAATGCCCCGTTCTCTCACTCTCCCTCTCACTCCAACTCCATGATGACTATAGCTGTCAGACAATATTGTCAGTCACGCCACATGGTCCATTTTGTTGTAAACACCTACAAGCCAACTAAAATGTACACCTTAGTCCAAAAGAAAAAAAAGTCTTCCAACAATGACGTGTTTTTAAAAAAAAAAAAAGTTCCCCAGAAGGCAAAGCAGAATGCAAATGTCACAACTCACTGAGATGAGAGAGGTCGATATGAGAATGATTTGCCTATGAGACAGTCTGGCCATGAAGACTTTGTGTCAGAGAACAAATTTGAAGTTGCAAATCCATACATGATTTTCCAAAACCATGAACCTGCATATCAAAAATAGCAACAATCATTGGATAAAGCATGCATATAATGTTAAAAAACTAAAAGGACTGGGAGGCAATAAAAAGAATGACCAGTTGACAGCCTCAATCGCAACTAAGCCCAAGCAAAAAGGAATGTGATGCCTTCATATATTGACATCGATAGACCAGGGAAGTATTTAGATTAAAAAGACAAGCTTGTGTGTTTGCATAAACTGGAGCAACAGCCTCTCTTTCAGTCACTTTCCCCGCGGTCATGAGGTCAGTGCTTATCTACTGGTCTGAGTAAGACATTATCATGGTGGGTGAGTGGGGGGATTGTTCTTCAAGTAGAAAGGTCCAAGCAAGTATTTGCCATCTACTGAGGAGATTTTTAACCAAGAGACTTAATCCCTACCACCTGCAGGATCCCTGTGCTAGTAGCTGACCCTGACATCTTACTTCCCGAGTAGGAGGAATACAAACTGAGATTTTCTCTACAGCAATGCCACATTGTTGTTGTTGTTGTTATCATCATCATCACAGAAAAACAAACAGAAAGATATCACAACTTCAGCGATGATCTGGTACGCACAATATTTAGTAATGTAAACACAGATAGGCTATTAAAAAGGATAGTGGAACTGGTGCAGCTTGCCATCAAGGCTATAGTCAGTTCAGCTGTGTTAGCTCCTATCTGTACTGACCTGCATTGCTTGATAGCCTGCTGATAACACGAGCCATGTGTCCTTCTACTTCATTGACTGATCGAGCTAGTGTGCTGCTGGTCATGTCACAGACGTTGCCAAACATGTTAGATGGTAATCAACACAGAGCAATAAACACATCCAAACCAAAAGATTGGTTGAAATTATTCACCATGTAAAACAAGCTGGCTCCTTTGGGAAAAAGGGTTAGACAAGACCCCACCATCCACCCCTTCTCACTTTACATTTAAGTGGAAATCAGCATTGGATTTCAAGAAGGTTGTCACAGTAACAGAGAACATTAAGTAGTACTCTCTATTAATAACACAGCGCAGCAGTCTGCAAAACCTGCTGGATTGGACCATCTAAACTGGCTTACTGGAACCCTTCAGGAAAAAGATCAAATAATTCATTAGAACTTAGATATGCGGAGGTGTGCAAGGTAAGCATACAAGCAGGAAGTTCAAGATTAGACATTTCCAGCCCGGGTCACGTGCATCTGTGCATACCTGCCCAATCAAAACTACTGTTTGGTGATATTTTTTTTCCCTTGCTGTGCCATTTCTGGAGAACAATTTAAAACAAAAATAATTGAGCATTACATGTGTTTTGATAAGGCTATTGGCTGTGACTTTTAAATTCTAAAAATTGAGCTATAAACATCCTCATCATGTGGTGGAAAGGATCAAACACAGATGATTATCTGCTCTCATTTTTAGAACAAAGCAGGTTCTGTTTTGTTGCCCCAAAATCTAGCAGTGGTTAAAGGGGCTGTGTTAACACCCTACCTTACATGTGACCACTAGTCCTGACTAAGTGAAATACTAATGCCAACATAAACACTACAGCTTAGACGTCTCAGGCAAGACAGGAAGAGATTACCTGTAGACCTGTCCACAAGGTACTGTAATAGTCCATTTACAGAAATAATGTTGCCTAATTTCAGCATATCGGCCAGCACTAAAACATACAATGATACATTTATCAGATGGCAAAATAAATGACTTTTTATCTGTTCCATTCCCTTGGTGAAACTGAGAAATATACCTGCATGCAAATTGCTCATGTATGTGATCAACAAACCCTTCTGACAGCATGTCCTCAGAGGGGAAAAGCACACTTAAAGCATTACACATGAAGTGTCTCCCATCTACCTATACATTCACAGGTCCACTTACCATAAATATGCCCATGCTAACAGCCCTGTGTATCCTGTAACACATCACCACTGACAGCGCTCTAGTATGACATAAGCACAGCAGCTTTAAATTGCATTAAAGGGCCAGTGTACACAGAGGCACATCCTGTAGACAGAGAGTGTGATTACATTGTGGGTGTTTGAGAGACTAATAGGACAACACTGGATAACAGAGTGACAGAGTGTGCAGGATGCATGTGTCTCTTGGAAAGTATCCGCCTTGTATACTGGTCTTTAGCTTACATTGGCCTGTGTGGTGTTGCAAATGAGTCCTTTTACAATAAAGTATCATGTTATCTTAAAACAAGCTGTGCAAATCAGTAACTGTATTAAGGTGATTACCCATGTCTGGAAGCGTGTCATATAGTATACCAATAGGTCCATCTTTAGTACTATCATAACAGTAATAACAAGGAAACATCCTCCTCAGGTCCCTTGTTGACTCACCATAGTTACAAATGATTAGGAAAGGATGAGTAATCATTCCAATAGGATTTAAGTATGATTCAGAAGGAACTTTGTAGCTAGGTGGAGCTAACTAAAGATACACAAGTTTTGAAACATGCAGGTACAAATTGGTTTGAATTCATTGCCAGAAACAAAATCTGGAGAAGATACCAAAGACACTGATGACCAAAACAGGAAATGTTTAAGGTGGGCCATAAGCTGTGTCATTATTGGCAATTAAGTTGTTTACAAATGCATAAAAAAAACACACAATGCACAAATTACATTAGTAGCATGGACAGGTAAAGAAAACTGAAAAACAGAACGCACATAAATCATCCCTATGAACATGTTAGTTTATGTGAGCAGGTTTCTCCCAACCCTACAAACTGGTGAATCAAGAGTTTCGGGTCTCATTCCAATGTAAAGGCACAGACTAGTTTTGAGTCAACCACAAATATCTGTCATGTCACCTGTCACAGCAACTACAAGGGCAGATCATAAATTGCATCCTTGCCAAACCACTTTTCCTTCAACGTGATGGAAAACATGAGACATGAACTACATTTCCAGCTATTACAAAAGAGCGTAAGATACTGTCTCGGTACTGGGCTGCCAAATATCTACCATGCAAATTATAAAACACATACAGCCTGATAATGTAACTGTAGAAAATATGAATAGGTCTATATGTGCCAAAAAAAGAGTACTTGTTGACTATCTATGTATGAATGACATGTATAAACCAGCACAGACTAACTAATATATAGGAGTATGTAATGATGAGATTCTATGTTAGGATGAAACTCCAAACATAATGTTACTGGGTGGATCAAACAGAGCCAATATAGAACACCCATCATCCATGGTGGATGGTTTTGTGTTTCCTTGACTAAAGGAGACAGGAAAACAATTAATGCAGCTCTTTCCTTTAGCATTTACAGAATTTGACATAATTTAAGTTAATGATATTGAACCATATTTCAAACTGTTCAGCTTAGGCACGGATGTAAATTGTTATTTCTATGAGATGGTTAACTTTACTCTGAGGGTTTGGTTGTGTGGAAGATGAGGGTAACAATCTCGTAAGGGCTTTGCCTAAAACCACAATCTCATAACGTATAGCCTTGTAACGCTTTTCATGCTAACGTATTTCAATCCAGGCCTATAAGCAGCTTTCAGATTATCATAAGTGCACATGGATTCATTTTAGTGTCGCCTATATAAGACCAGAGATCTTTTCTTAATTAAATGTATTTTTAATGTCATTAGGCCCTTGCCAGCTTCCTTTTGGAGCTACTGTCTATCCTTTTAACATACTTCTACCTAAATAAAGTCCTGAGACATACAGTACACAGTGTGTGGTCCATGTGAAAGTCCATTTTGTATCGCAACTACTCAGAGATTAAAAATGTCGCCTATTGTTATCATTAAGTTAATTGACCTGGAAGAGCTGAGGACCAGATGACCCGCTCTGGCTCCTGCTGTGCTATCTGTTGTCTACCCGGCTGAGTTTTTGGGAAGGGACTTGCTGATGTCATCTTGACTTGGCAGTAAACTATCAGTAAGGCAACTGAGTTGATTAAGACAAACACGACACATCAACGCACTCTTGGTCCTCATATTCCAGTAGCTTGGAATAGCGAGTGACTTTGACCAGAGGGCGTGGTTAAGGTGCTAAACAGAGCACACAGAGGCTGCAGCAGCCTATAGTCCTGGACCCAAGCCCTGCCTGGGATTGTGTAACACGCAAGTCATGTTGTTAAAGTAAATTAGACTTCACCCCACACCCCTTTTCAGCCGAAACTAAGTGCCGTCTGCGATAAAAAACCTTGACCATTAACCTCTGAGTGTTTATTTACATGCACATCACAGGAATGAGAATGTCTTTTTTGTGGGGGGTGGGGGGGGGGGGTTCTCTTTTGTTATTTAAAGTGAATGTACCCAGGATTACTTGGAGTAACAGTGATCCTATCATTAGACTTATGTTTGTACTGTTCTGGTAAAGATGAATATAAAATGACATAAAAAGGGGCATATTATTAAAGCCTTTCCTCCAACTGTTTTTGTGTCTTCTTTGTGTGATCTAATCTTTAACAGATAGGACTTTAAAACAAAGAGGGGATTGGTTATCACCTCGGGGTCAGAGCTGACGCTGGGTCTAAGACCTGTCTCAAGAAAGCTAAAGGAAAACTAAGCTATGATGATGCATGCTCTATGCAACAAAATTATTTCCCTAGGTGGGTGTGTTTTGCATCATAGAGGCTGGATGGTTGGAGGTTTGTTGAGAAAAGGATATAAGGCTGAAACCCCCTGACAAATTGTGATTATAGTCTATTCACTCAGTGCACAATTAGCTTCTACACGCTGCTATTTGATCCTGATATTATAATTGCGGAAGAAAAGTGGTGTTCACACTTGCTATAGGTGCTGTCACCTTAGAGTGTGAAGAATGGTAGTGGGAGAAAAAAAAAAAAAAAAAACTACGCCCCATGTGCCATGCCTGTGTAGCCGGATTAAAAACATACCCAGCACCAGTAGCCTGCAATTTGTGACTGAAGCCTGTCGTCTAGAAATACGACTAAATGGGTTAGCGTGATAAGGCCTAGGGAGGAGGCCCGTTTTTTTTCTGACACACACATACCCAGAAAATGTGACCACACATTGAGTGAGAACAAATGACATGTGTCAAAAAAACGCATACCGTGCATGCTGCCCCTTTCATATGCTGCTCTTTGTGCTGAAAATCGCTGAGCTATACACACACACACACACACACACACACACACTGTAGTTCCCCTACATGCATGTGCTTCAAGCTACACTGCTGGACAGAATATAAACATATTGCTGGGACAACAAAAGGATGGTGGTCTTCATACGACCTCCCTAAACACACAATATTAGAAGTCACCAGGCCTGCAGCCTCAACTATAAACCTACCTGCACTGCCGTAGGACTTTGCCAATAGCCATCGGACACTTGCGCATATTTTTGCCTTAGTAGAGTCATACAAATCCAATGGCTTTATGTCTGGGATCACGAAAGTCTTCTTCATGGTAGGGGAGTCCACCATAGCGAGTCCGTAAAAAAAACTGGAAGCGAGCCTGGCACACACAAAAAAAAGGAGCTACAAGACAGTATAAAAATATTCAAGCAATCATTCTTTTAGCTGACTGTTCCCCACTAGCGGGGCTGGGAATACGACTGTGGGTTTTGTCGGGAAAATATCCGCCCCGGAGCTGCTTCCAACCCAGTTAATGACCTTTTTTATTTGCGGTTTAGGAGGATATCCCGGTAAAATTACGCCTTACGACCACGGAAAGCCCCGACCCGCCGGGTTGTCAGAAAAAACCGGACTATTCCCCTCGTTTTTGCCCTTCTTCGTCCGCATTGCTGTGTAGTCGTTTCACTGTACGTAGCTCCAATGGGAACCCCACCGATGACTGACTACAAGGTGCTCCACACTGGCATCACTCGCCGAGCCCGCCGTCCAATAGAAATCGAGTTTGAACAATGGGGGCGGGACCTTCCAGTGTGAGACTACAGGCAGCAGGTAGAGGTGGTGTGTGACTTTCGATGCTGGTTTATCTGCTGGTACACACACACACACACGTACACACACACACACACACACACACACACACACACACACACACACACACACACACACACACACACACACACACACACACAGGTGAACGCCTGAGGGGCCACCTTTTGACTGGGGACGTCAAACAGCTAAAAGTGACCTAATAACAATACAAATATTAACGTGACACCAACTTTATAGATTTAGACTTTTGAGAAAGAGAAAAAAGGGATTAATACAAATGTTCTGACAAACCAATTCAGACCATATTGTTACTGTTAACCCTCAGCAGCTGGTATTAGTAAATACGTTTCAGTATCTTAGAGTATACATTTTTAAATAATGAAAAATACTTTTTGTAAAACAGATTACAGAGGAAATGTAGTATTCCTGGCTAACTCTTGCATATTTTCTGAAATGTTATTAATATGCAATGTCCCTGTCAAATAAAGTATAAAATTAAAATAAATAAGCAGAATAAAGTACAAGATGAAGTCATACACCAGCAGGCATATGATGGTCACATTATCAAGAAAGGATTTAATTAGAATCAGAACTATTCATATCAGCTTCTGATTAATAATGAAGTTACTGTCTAGTGAAGAGCAGCAGCAATGCCTACAACCTGCAGATATATGTTCAGTTGCTTATATACCTTACTGCATCATAGCAGCCTGTATTATATACAAAAATAATCCAATGAGTAAACATACACATATACTGTGTACATCTATGCAGAAAGGAAAAAGGGAAATAACGTTTGGAAAATAGTGAAGTTGTGTGTTTCTAATTATTGTTACTCGAGACAATTTCTTTCCAATTGTTTTTGAAGTCTGGTTTCCAGAAGCACCATCCACATTGGAAAACAGAAAATCTCAGTGCTTCGTCACATGATGTTACAAGAGCACTCCAAGCGCCTCACTGCAGTAACTTTGTAAGAAGATTACCTCTCAGCTATTTTAATCCAATTATGAAAGAAACAATTTCTTCCAAGTCAGTACTTTTTCCAGTCCTCTGCCAATTTAACTCTTAAGATGGGGTGGCAATAATTAAAAGCATGAGGCCTTTTCCATTAAATACTTAAGTAGATCTACATCACATTCTATCTTAAAAGTAATTCTCCCCAGGATACATAAGTTGCAAATACATTACTGGACCTTCATTTTAATGTGTAGTCTGAATAAAGAGTTTTGCAAGACACTTTTCAGCTAATTTTACATCAACAATGAGACCTTATTGCTCAGGTCCTGTTTCAGTGAAAGGTTCAAGTGAAAAGAAACCAAACTCCTACCCAGTGTAGGTTTCCTCTGTCAGATAAAAGTTACTGCATTTTACCAGGTATAAATCATTTTTTAATTACAACTGCATTCTCAAGACAATGTAAAGAACGTTTCAGACTCGAAGTGACCAGCGTATCGCAGCCAGAATTGCAGGAGCATAATTCACAAACACTGAAAAAGTAAACTGTGGCAATAGCAAAACTTTCAAAAATCTTGTTGTATACCAAAAACTGTTAGACTGCATTAGGTCACAGGTAGACCCTCAACAACGCTGACTGAAACACATTATTACAGCATGAACCTCAAAAATGATCAGTAGGCCAAGTTAACACCTGAAACTATAACAATGGCATTTAGAACTGACCTCTTATTATTCAATAAGTTGTAAAAACTGTTGCTCGAGTACATTTGTACAATAATACATGTAAAACTACAAGACCATTTTAATATTTGGATAGGGACATTACATATGCAAGTTATGAAATCTGTTTAGAAACACTGGTTTTAGCAAGACACCCGCCTACTAGTGATCCTCAAGCCAACAATGTGAGGCTTGAATGCTCAGCTCCACTTTCAAATGAATGCCCCCTGTTGAAGAAACTATGCTCCTCCCCTCTGTTTTCTAGGGCAGAGCTTCCTGTCAGAGAAAGGTCTGCATTTACTAGATATACAAAAGCATTTTCACTGTTGACTCTTTTTCCAACACTTTACTTTCTAAAAGTGGAACAAAACAAAGTCAAACTACATCCGACTACAGTAAGCATGTAACCACATAGTATTTTATAAACAGAAAGTTGAACTTGAGCTTCATACTTGAGAAAAGACTGACACCTAATGGCCAATTCTAATACAGGCACATATCTTTGTATGCTGTACTAGAAAAATACACCAGGAAAATCCATAGGCTTTTCAATCATGTTACATTCTATTAAAAATACAGTGGCTATAACTGAGCATATACACACATTTAAAAATAGAACCTATTCAATGTCCACAAGAGAAATCAGACGACTGCATTTCTGCAAAAGGTCTCTTTCAGTCATCTTTAGTCATCTTTAAGCCCTCCAAAGACAGCTGTGGGGACACTCTTCTGTTCAAGCTGCACCTCTGTGAAGGCCAAGAGGAGATGACAATTATTTAATGCATATTCATGAATAAAACATGTCCGCATGAATGTTTAAACACCAAATGTTTCCGTTTTACAGCTGAGGCTGGGCCTGTAGTGTCGGCCACTTACCATCTGGTCCCTGGTTTTCATCGTCTTCATCCTCGTCATCATCAATGTCAATCTCATCCGGATTGGCTTGTTTGGAAAGCTCAGCCAACTCACTGCGAGAGGTGTCACTCCTGCACAGATGCAAACACTTATGTGTCTCAATTTGCTTTGGAGCATGTAGTCCAGTTTCATAAGAATAATAATTTTTCAAAGATATTTTTACTGGTGTAAAAAAAAAAAAAAAAAAGAAAAGACAAACCTGACGAAGAGAATCTTCTCTTTGGGCTTGGGTTTGTCCTGCTCGGCCTCTGCAGCAAGCTGCTGAGCTTTCTGCTCCAACATCTTCATGTCATCAATTCCCATTTGGCCTGAAGCAAGATCTGACACTGAATACAAGACAGACAGATGTTTGGACAAAAGCAGAAACATTAGCAAAAATACATTAGTACATAAATATGTAGTTCTGGGGTGTAACTTCAGGTTTGGGGCAAATCTGTAGTATTGTTATTAAATATAACATCCTCCCAATGTCCTGTACAGCCCATACAGCTCATGGTACTAATAAAAGCCGAGCTTGTCAGTGGCTAAAAAGTGCTGTAAGCTCTCTTACCGGAGCTTGTTGTGGCCTTCATCATCTGAGAGGACATAAAGTTGACCTGGGTGTTGTAGGTGGCCTGGACACTGCGTTTGATCCTCAGCATTTCCCTAATAGTGTCCTCATTTCCATGGCGGATCTCAAATTCTTTCCAGGTCTGCCAAAAAGTAGCTGTGACCTGAAAGATCAAGTGTATAAATTTATCAAGAAGAATTCTGATATGTGCAACATTGATGAAAATGTTTATTCAGAAACAGCAAACATCAGGAGGTGGTTTATCTCACCCTGGGGTCACAAATCTGGGAGCAGTAGGAGTAGATTGCTCTCCCTCGATCAATCTCACCCAGTTTACTCTCCATGTCAGCAAATCGCAGACACATGTCCCTCGCATGCTCATCAGGAAGGACCTGAATAATTACAAAGATACAATTCACATTTTAGTTATTATCATAATGAATAGAACATAATGTTTATGTACGTTATTTAAGCCTTTTCTGGAACATTGTAAACTAGTGCATGCTAAGATTTTCAGGCATAAAACAAATCAAATTGGGCAAGCTTTGTTTTAAGCCAGGGAGGAAAATTCTGTAAATTATTAAAAAAGCAACACTAAATAGCTTTCTATCACTGTTTTACAGCAAACCTTGTAATTTGATGGGTCTGAATTAATAGAAGGATTTGAGTTATAATCCACAGATAATTTGACAGTGTCAGATACAAAGCATAGATATCTTTCTCAAGTACATGTGTGAATACATTATAAAGCAAAAGCTTAGGAAAATGCTACACTGATGATATTCTGTGCTGCATCTACATGAACCAACTGAAAATCAATATAACTCAATATGATTGCTATCATATTCATCAATGCTTTTACCACGAACCTCGATAGCCTTCTGGTAAATTGCTCTGGTATATGTGACACCATAAATTTCAGCTGCTCTCTTGATGTAGATATTGAACATGTGATGTCTCTCCTCAGTTTCTACTGCCTGGGTTGCTCTTTCATAGACAGCCATGGCATGTCGTGCCAATCCATATCCCTCCTCCAATTTGGCATACAACAGGTAAATGGCTGGAAAGCAAAGCACAGTGGTACATGCGGTTTAAGTACATGTCATAAAGAAAACAAACAATATGGAATATAGTGTGTAAGTTGTCAATGGACTTCCAACAAAGCTACTTACTCTTGGCAAACTTGGCAGGGCAGCCATCCAGGGCTTGTTCAAATAAATCTCTAGCTCTCTCCAGTTTCTTGCCCCCATAACGATCAATGAACTTGGTGAGGTAGGTGTTCCAGATGTCATAAACATTTGGCCACCTGAAGAGAGCAATACCACGCTCATATGCCTAAAAACGTATCGACAAAGACATTGTTTAAATGGGTGGTACGCTGACCAAGGAAAGAATCCATATTGACAATCAATGCTGGTTAATTTACTAGTGGCATGTTATTACTTTGAAGCTCTCCTCAAAGTAGTTGTGCTCTTCAAGAAACATAGCATAATTGATGATGATCTGTGGCGTTGCGATGCGGAGGTCAATAATGCGGTCATACACTGCTTTTGTAGACTAAGGACAAAAAAAGGGAAAATGGAAGAAGAATTAGACTCAACATATACAAGTCAAAAGAGACACACAGAAGCACACAGTGGATGAGGACTCTAAGACCAATACTAAATAGAGTTTACCTGTCATGTGATACCTTCTGCATATCTTTAATTCATATGAACAATTTTGAAACACACAGAAATGTAGTGAGCATAC